CTCATCTTGTTTCTTCTCAATACCGTTAAAAGATATGCAATGCGGTTGAGAGAAAAACAAGTATTTTCATGATAGGAAGGAAAACCACTAAAAGCTGCTAAAAAAACTTGTAACTCGATGAAAGTTGAGAATGAGTGAAGGTTCTAAAGCGAATGGATTATATTTGTTAGCACCACAAGCCCAATGCAATTTGGGAGGAATCTCTTTCCATCCTCATATAAATGATACATTTTGTTTCTATCCTCGTAAGATTTTTTTAGTTGGATGAGTTTTGTTTAAGTTGGTTTATGTAGAAGTGGTAGATAAAGAAAATTAGATGACACTTAAAGGGCATTTTTGTCATTTCACATGCCACTTTTTTGGACTAGACTGAGTTTTTGGGGAGTTCAGATACCACAGTGGTACATTTTGAAGTTCGGGTACTAAACTAAAACTACCCCTAAAGGAGTGGGAACGTTTGTAACTTTGTTTCTTCACTTTCATTCTATTTTTCATTTCCTCCATCAAATAGAATATCCTTGCTATTTCCAACCTTAGAAGAAAGCATTAACAATAAAAAATATACTTAGCAATTGGGTTGGGTCAAGACATTTTCAGGTTGGGTTGATAATGGCTAAATCCTGACCCTAAATATTCAGGTTCGGATTGCCCATGGGTCAATGGTTCAACTGCCAATCTTTGACCAATTCAATGGTTTTTAACAACAAAAATACAGGTTTAAACGTCCAAGTAAAATGGTTTGAATAGTTTAACCGTTTGGGTCAAACACCAATTTGGAAACATTTGAAAATAGGTGACCCATGGCCCAACCCCATCCGAATTCTTTTTGGGTCAGTAAGGTCGCATTCCGGTACAGACCACTAGATAGGAGCCCCTGGCCCACTTTTTTGGGTTGCAGGTTGGGTCAACTTTGTGCCAGGTCTACTTAAAAAATCTTTCTCAGGTCTGGGGATCTGGGTTGATACACCAAAGATATGGTGGTCCCTTGACTCCATTTTGGCTTATAATTTTTTTTCCAAAAAAGATATATTATATTCTTAAAAATATTTACATCCAAACCGTTGAGAGGCCGTTGAAACATCAACTGTGATCCTCTCTTACATACTTGCTGAGCTATATCATGAGCCAACATGTTTTGTTTTCTGTTTACATAATAGATATTACAGGTATCATAACACCTCCTAATAGAGTAGATACTATCCTTGTACATTTTTTCCAACCAGCTACAGTTTACAGAGTTGTCATTTATAATATCAATTACTGCCTTTGCATCACAGAATATATTAATATCCTTAATATTCCTGCTTGTGCTTCTTGTAATCCCCTAAGAATTGCCTTCCATTCAGAATCAGATGGTTGATTTGCTTGGATCCTAACTCATGCTGCTGCCAATATCTTGCAACCATTGTGAATTAATACATAAGCTGCTGAATGTGATTTCATGTTTTTTACAACATTCCAAACCTCCTCTTTTGATGATATGAGCTTGTGTTAGTGTGGGTAGAGGAACAGCCTGTATCTCAAGATTTGTGATGTCTTGTATCCTTGATTGAGTAAAATGAGATCTTTGGCCTCCAATAGCTTCAGCCATTTTTCTAAAAGCCATTTGCACTTCCTCTAGAGATAATAAATTTCCCTCCATATCTCTAATCCCCTCATAATAGTTTGATCTCCTATGAAAATTTGTCATTTGGTGGAAATACTTGGTGTTTGGTCACCTTCCTTCAACCAAATTTCTCTTGATTTGAGCCTCCATATTTGTTCCTTCCTTTTCAACCATTTGTCATATTCTTTTTGCATCTCAATGAACTCAGTAGCACTCATTGGATCAGGATTCTTCTCTTCATATTGAGCTATTTTCTCCTCCAACTCTTTAAGACTAGTTTTACAATTTTTCAATTTACATAACAATCTCCTGGCTGTTGAACCTCTAAAATTATTCCCCATTCTCTTGTAATTACAGATTCACATTCTTGTTCCTCCACCCGCATAGGCTGGAAATGGAATTGAGTGGCACCCCTAAGTTTCTTAAACTGAGTATCCAGAACCAGCAAAGCATGATCTGAAAGAGTGGAGTGTTTGTTTAAAACATTTGCTTCCGGATACAACTAAAACCATTTTGGTGATGCCAATACCCTATCCAATCTTTCCCTTACTCTACGGTTTCCTCGCTGATGACTTGACCGCGTATAATAAGGGCCCCGAGTTTGAACTTCTATAATACTGTTCAACCATTTGAGAAAGATGTTTGGAGGGTAACTGAGCTTGAGGTCTACGACAAAGAAGACCCCCTGCCTTTCCATGTGCCCCATGTGACATGAAGTTTTGGTATCTCAAACGCTTCGCAAGAGCTGCACTTCTATCTTCATCTAGTTTAGTTTCCGAGAGAAACAATATATCTGGATTCTGGGTTTTGTAAATTCATTTGAGAAAACGCACAGTGTCTGGGTTATTGCAGCCCTAGCATTCCAGGCTATGATCTTCATTTTGCAACAGAGAGCCAAAGGATTAACCACTCAGTTATATAGCACAAAGAAAAAGGTACCTGTGCAGGAGATTTTCAACATGCGTTGTCCCTATAGGAAGAATTTCTTCACTTAAAGCTGGATTTCTGGTTGCAGACTTTCAACGAACATTTTGTAGGCCCTTCTGGTGCTTCTATTTGGTATGAGAACATGGACCTCAAATTAACCCAGTTTCAGAGTACGGACTGGTTGCTTTGGAGTACAGGCTGCTTACCGTTTGACAACCTTACCCTTTTCATAATTGAAACTAGAGAAATGCAAACAAACTGAATGCTGGTGTACAAGTTGGTCGCCAGAGAAAAAAAACTCATTCAGGAAGCTGGTCACCGGAGAAAAAAACTCGTTCAGGCTGGTCGCCGGAAAAAAAAAACCCTCATTTGGTCGAAAGAATATCAGCATTATTATGTAGAGCCATCTGATTTTAAATGTTTAGTGAGACAGCGGATAAACAGGATTCATTTAGCCGCAACCCTAAGTTTGGACAAGGATTAGATGATGACGACAATGAGTTAGGTAGTATACGATAAATCTCTTAAACCTGAAATATCCTTTAAAGAAGTGCAAAATCAGATGGCCGAATCATCATAAATAAAACTTAGGGTGCAACTTTTGAGCGGATTAGGATTGGGGTTTTGTCCAAATTTCAATAGGCTCAATCCGAACCACAAGCCTGAGCAGTGTAAACTGTTAATTCAGGCCAATCCGAGTTGTACAATTAAAACTGAAAATGATATCCATTTATCCAAATTTGAATCGATCCAACTAATTAAAGGGTATTCAAATTTGAATTCTATCTAATTAAAGGATAATTCAAATTCAATATATTCATTTTATGATATACAATATCAGTCATTTTTAGTTTATTTTATTAATTAGCGTAAGAGTATATGTAAGTGTGCAAAATAATAAGTACTAACCATATATGAAATATGCTCTTTAGATATAATTGTTATTACCTGCATAGAAACCAAGGCAAATAACCCGTTATATAGCATATATATAATATTTTGGTCATTTTTAGTTTTATTTATCAATGCCATTCAACATCTAATTGCAATATGAATTCGTTTCAAATCCAAATACAAAGGAACTGATTTGATCTCATTCATTTGCAGCCCTAAATACCAAATCATCTGATTATACTGCTTTTTTTTTTTCATTGAAAATACTTTTATTTGGACCCATTCAGTAGCAGGCCCTTGATCTTTGAAATATGGAGGGATTGATAAGTTATGATGCCAAACTCAAATATCTTATACAATTTTAGATTAATTTTTAAATTTTCAGCAATTTATCTTTTTTAGGGAAAAGTATAGTAAAATTTCAGTTTATAGATCTATTATTTAAGTTATCATATAATACCCATATAATACACAATAAGGAAAGGTGTGTTTTCATTCTATAGCATATCCCCCCCCCCCCCCTTCTCAAATTGTGTTTGAAAGGGCTCTAAATTCCTTTCTAGAAAACCAAGAAGCTATAAATTACTCTTTCAGAAATTGTTTAGACTTTAGACTTGGAAGCCAATCTTGTGGCAACCCCGGCACATGGAACAATAAAACTGAATTTTGATGCTTCCTGTTTGTGCCTTCGTGGTAGTATTTGCTCAATGGCCCTTGGCCGCTATCGTGAAAATCATTTTGGTAAAATTGTTAATGCTAAAGGTTACAACATTGGTAATACAACCATCAACGTTGCTGAAACGTGGGCTGCATGAGAAACTCACAACTTGGCGACGAACTTCAAGGACCACTCCATTATCATCAAGGGCGATTCAAAGCTTGTTATCTCTTACCTTCAAGTCTTCAACAAATGTTCAATCCGCCATGAAGACTGAGTAACGTCTGGATTGCCTGGAGTAGAAATAGCATTTTGAGAAAGGTGAGACGTACTGCAGATTAGCTTGCCCATGAAACTCAGAAAAGGTTCAGATTTTCTCTTGTGATTTGTGGAGACATGCTACCACCCATCTTGTGTAGCCCCTCTTGGTTTTATCAGGAAAAAAAATAAGGAATTCCTTTATTTTACCATTCAAAAATTCTTGTCTCCCACACACATGTTACATGCGACTAAATACTTTAAAATAGCATTTTCCAGTAAACCATTTGATTTATTTGAAGCCAAAGGAGCCAATATGCCTTTGTTTCTGGCCTTTCAAAATGTGGAAAAGAACCAAGGCTTTGACATCAGTATACAGGTTCCAATATACTAATGTGTGCCGAGTGCTGAGCTTATCCATTTGATAAAACATGGTGATAATCAATTATCAGCTTGATAAAACCATGATTGTAATTTTGTAACAAAGGCTCAGTTTGGAAGGAGTACAAATAACAATTTGTAGAGTACAAAACCTTCTATTTTATATGTATTTATACTGTACATATTTGTATTTGTACTCCTTCCAAACTGAGCCAAAATATCAGTGTCTGCTTCTATATTCTCAAAGATACCAAGAAAAACTAGAACTCAAACAAGTTTATTTGAAAAATCAAGCACTTGTAATTACCATTATCGTGATGCAAATTTCTCAACAGCTATTTTACAACGACCGCAATTTCATTAGAATAAAGAAAGAAGAAAGTTTGGTTATGAGAAGAGGAAACAGAAGAACTAAACACAAAAATCACACATTTACACCGTCGAAGGAAATACCAAACAAAGGACAAAAATAGAAGGGAAAAAAAAGAGTACACCTCGTTGATTCCCCTGGCAATGGACTCGGATACCCTTGTGGTGATCAACTGTTGGCACCCTCTTATCTAGTAAAAATACAAGATCTATACTCTCTTCTCCCTGCTTCCAAGGTGAGAGCTGCAAATCAACATGCTTCATGCTCAAGAGATTTTATTACCCGAGGATGCCTTCAAAAACTCTGCATTAACCTCGGTCTCTAGACACAATAAACAAAGAGGAATAAAGGCCAAGTCCACAGGTTTTGCAAGAAACATCTTCAAGTTTGTTCTTAAGTAGCCATTTGTATACATGATTAGAAGAGAAACAAGAGAGAGTTATAGAAGATTACCTGTAGAAAAAAAAGCTCAACGCCCCAACCACAGACCACATTTGGCCGCAGAATAAATATTAAACCAATCAATGAACAAGTTACTCCGAGGGGTTTCCTGTACATCTTGTGCTTTGGTAGTCACATTTCTACTGATAAGACTCTACCTTAAACCTTAAATTTTACTGCTCCCATGGATTCCATAGACATAAGCCCACATGATCAGTTATGCCCATGTACAATTTTTAAGGGACTTTTGATAGATATGACAAAATCTGGCTCACAATCCACAGGTATCAGAGGCTGATTACAGAATCGAAATGACAGTAAATACTGCCAAAAGAATTAGAACCAGCATCCCAAACTTCAAATATGAATCCTTGCATGATGCATCAGATTCCAAACCATTCTATAGAGCCACCCTTCTGCATGCCTTTTCCATTGGGATACTGAGGTCTGAAACATCATAGGCATCACATTTGCATGTCATGTCAAGTAACTTTGTAATGCAGGTATTTTTCTGTTTCTTTCCCAGTCAAACAGATCCTATTTCAACATAACCTGTTCCATCAGATTTATAATCCAGTTCCAAGGTCATTTGACAACTGAAGTATGCCACGCATCTGGAGGTACGGATTTTCCAGCAGCTTTTCATTGTTGCTCTGGATAGCATAAGCAAATTATGTTAGTTACATTTAATAGCGGCCTATTTACTGTATCTATTAAATCACATTAGTAAGCTGATACTACAAAACAATGATTAGCAGAACCAAATGTCCATTTCATGTACTAGTAGTCTGTTGATAACCTTAAATCACACAAGGTACACAAGATTGGAGAAAAGTATTCTTAGATTTGTTGGTCCTGGTTTCTTGTGTTTTCCCTGTGGTGATCCATATTGGATGTAGGGTTTCTCATTTACCTTTAATTATGACCACTAAAATCTTCTTGATTGTTAATGATAAAAAAGAAGGTATATCTAATTGGAGTTTTCTGAAGCAGTACCCATGCAAGGGTATAGAACAGGCTATCCACTCTTTTGTAGTAAGAAAAAGAAACATCAGGAAAATGGTCAACATGAAATGCCAGGCAGAAAGGTAATGATGAGTGAGGATTTTGACCAGGGAAACCAGTTTTGAAGCTTTTCTTTTCAACAGGTTTAAGGGTTCATGAAATGGTAGCTCCTGCTCTGGTTTATGCGCATGTAGTGACAAAAGGAACTTTTTTTTGACAAGTCAAAAGAAACTGGGTTTTGTTTGCTCAAAAAGCAAAATAAAACAGAAATTATGCAAATACTCCCACCACTAACTGGAGTAGAGATGACAAATTGAAACTTTATCTCCTAATAGCTTCTTGTTTCAATAAAAGTGAGTGAGCCAGATCCCACCTGCTGTGCTTTAAGAACAAGACTCTGAAGCATACGCTGGTAGTTTTCAGGTTCTTCTGTCATCATTCTCTGCAACATTACCATCATAAGTAAGTTCACAAAATGAAGACAACTAAATAAACAACTAGGGGTTAGAAGAGCATACCTTCAAAAGAAAGGCTGAAGAATAATATGCCACTCTTGAATCTGTGTCATCTAAAAGTTCCCTGCCAAACAAAAGAATGCTGATGTTGGAAATATCCTAAGAGAGAGGCAAATTTACTTATGGGAATCAAGGAAATCCTCTGGCAGTGGATGAAATGTCTTTGGGGTGGTAACCTGGAGCCAGTGGAAGATTTTGTCAATTACTGGAATCTCAGTGGGCTAAGTAGGGAAGGAAAGATTGTGGAGGATTGCACATTTTGCTGTTTTTTTTGGACTTCATGGACATACACTATAACAACAAATGATACAAAATAGGACCTTTTAAGGAAACCTTATGATGCTTTTTTTTTGACAAAAGTTTGCTTTTTGTAAAGTCTGTCAATTAAGACTGAAAGGTTGTGAGAAATCCCCAAGAGGTATTGCAAGAACTGCTCCAAAAAAAAAAAAAAAGGAAATCCAGGTCTACCTGAAGAACTGCTCCCCTCCAACTTCTTGAAAAGCAGCAGGATCTGCAGTGCATTTCCCAATCAGGAGTAAGAGAAGGGCTGCCCTGATGTCTGATGTGGCACCAGGCACATTTCCTCTTCCTTTGCTACCAACTGCAATACCAAGGGCAATATCATCTGTGGCTGCACCAGCAAGTTGAATCAGCGGCCAGTAGAACAATGCCGTAGGAACACGAGCTACTAGTTGCATAGGAACAATAGCCTGCCCTCGCAGAAGCAGTGCTGCCATAGATGCAGTATCATAACTTATAGGACAACTGTCATTGAGGCCGGTTCTGCTATGAACTTCTGGAAACTCCTCTCTCAAGCGATTCTTTTCAGGGTGAAGGACATGTGGATCTGTATCCCGCTTCCCATTTTCATCTGAATGTCCAAAATCTTTACTAAGTTGTGAGAGATCCCCGAGAGGTATTGCAGTTGCAGGGAGAAGTCTCAGGCATAATTGGGAAAATAGCATGTCACACATCTGTTTGAAGCAAATTACCAACAAAGATGGTCAGAAGCAGAAATAGAAACCAGTGTTGCATGGACTCTACTAAATGGATGAAATGTTTGTGTTGGACATACATCGGAATCTGACACTTCATGGATTCTTAAGGACACTTCTATGTAACATTTCCTATTTCCACCTAGTTTGTTTGACATAATAAACAGCTAATGTACAAGATGAGTGCCATTTTTCATCTAAAACGCCACTTGGTAAGAAGCAACATCTTAGACCCCTTTTGCAGGTATATAATGTTAAAATTCAAAAAAATATCAATAATATTTCATTTTTCATAGACATGTCTGTTAGTCCATGTTTTCTCATCTTGCAGAGTCACTCTTGGACATGTGTTGGCTCCAACTTCTGTGACCATGTCCATGCAACACCAGGAAATAGTAAACATGATAATAATGACAGGGAAAAGTTCATAACTCATGCAGCTTGAAGTAAAAGTTCTAGGGCAAATAAAAGGAAATAGGCTACAATCTACCAACAGCAAACACAAACTTACTATCTTCTTTGACAAAAAATTACTAATCAAATGACTTTCACCATCCAACTAATGGCTTCTCTTCTGAATCATTTTTCATAAATAAGAAAATATCATAGGACATTCTGCTCACTCTACTTTCTGATGTGAAAGATCTCCCAGATCCATTAGTACAACCTAGAACTTGAAGCATTGGAGAAATTGTGGTCTCATGAGATGATGCAATTATGTCCATCCATCTCTCTGAAAATTCAGTGACACATCTTGTGGAAGATTTATCCTGTCCTATTGTGAGGGTACACAAGAAAAGTTAACTCATCTATTATGGACAGGACAATGGCCTTAAAGTTCAGGGGCCCCCCACACATTGTCCTGTCTAGTTACCCCACTTCTTGCATGACAGTCAAGGTATTAGCTGAATGTGGAAAACAAATCAGTGGAGACTATCCTATATCAACAAATAGAACTGCCAATTCTATTCCTTTTATCCCACGAGGAAAATGTAACTATAACTTCTCAAAAATGTCATGTAATCACATTCTTGAGAAGGGGGAAAATCTGTAATTAAAAGCACAAAACAACACCTCTCTTTTTTTTTTTTTGGGGGGGGGTCCCCATAAAAAACTCTAGTCTAGTTTTCAAAAATGGGATGTGCCCAAACTACCACCCCTTTTCTTGATAACAGTAACAATATACATGAAATTATTTTCAGATTTTTTAATGGTCTTACTGTTTTCAAATGGTACATAATAATCAAAATAGAGAAAGGTCACCAAGCCAATAGCAAATTGGAATAATGCAGTCATCGGAAATTGGAAGGATACCTTCAGAATATTGATTCGATCTGTTTCATTCATTTGAGCTACCAAGGACAAACCACTGCTCATTATATCTATCACTGCGTTTGCTTTTTCCAGACGACTGTCACTCTGATCAAACCTCAGAATTTCACCACTGCCTGAATGTTGAAGCTCTTTCTCATCTAACAAAAGTTTGCACCGCATAAGAAGCTTTTCAAGGACAAAAAGGAAGCCCCATCTGATGAAGTTGTGCTTTGATTTCAGAAGTCTACACATAACCCACGTTGATAAAGGAACTTCAGAACCAACTGAAGAATCGTGACTACCGGCAAGCCCAATTTGTTGTTGCAAATTCTTGATATTTGACCATATGCTTGTATTCCTTTCCTCACTAATTTCTGCAAGAAGCAATTCGACTAACCAAATATATCCATTCTGTCGATAAGTAGATCTTTCCGAGTGAAGAAGAGAATGTAGCGTTGCCCATGAGAGTTTAATTTTCATGGTAACATCACTTTCTAAAACTCCATTGCCCATACTTTCCAAAGATTTGTAAGATTTTGTTATCCGCACCATATGTGAGAATTCTTCATCTAAACGGGAAAATGAACTTATAATAGTATCCAATTTGCTTGTAATCTTCTCCAAGAGCTACAAATACAAAATGCACTTCAGAGGCCAGAAAATTTTAAGAGAGACAAGTAAAAGAAAAAGAAAGAGAATTTCCTCAAAAGAATATCTAGCTAGTTTAAAGCATGGAACTGCATGCCTAATAAAAATTGACATCACGGATACTGCAACTAAACAACTTGATCAACAGATAATAGAACACAACTTTCAGATGACAAGATGAACACAACAAAAAACTTGTAAGAAGACCAATTAAAGTGGAGGGTTTCTGTAAACAAGGATCTAAGACAACTGTTCAATAAAACAATATTGAGCATGTCTCCCATCTCTTGGGAAACAAATCGGTATTTCCTTTGCCAATTTGGGTTTAAGTAGATAAAATAAACTTGTAAACTAAAGGGCCCTCCAGATGGCAAGACACATCAAGAAAAAAGCTAAAAGTAGATAATACTAGTGGAGAAAATCTCTCTCGCCCCCTCCCGAGCAGCTGGCCCAAAGTCACATGCAGACAGACAGTTCAAGTTCATAACCTCTTTGTTATTATCAAAATAAAACATGGTAAAAGGATAGGTGACAAAGTATGATAGGAACATATTTTAGGAAAGCAGCAAGTTTTATGCTTCCACAGATCTTGGCTACGGGATTTTTCTAGGCACCACCTAATCCACTAATGGTGAACTAAGGAGCTCTTCATCATGTGCCAATTTGCTCATCAGCTCTCTTGCTCCTGTAGCATGGCATTGCCAAATTGGGAAATCCAAGGCACATCAGGTCAGTGTGTGGGTGTGGATTGGTGAGGGGCTAGACTATTAATATTGCACATATCCTATGATTGGTGATGCCATACATTACAAGACTTTTGCATCCATAGAAAATGAATTAGAAACTGTAGATGTGCTGACTTGGATTGGCAAGGACTTTGTCCACAGCTCAGGTGAATAGTGAATTCCGTTGTAAATTTAAGGTCATGGTGGTTATTATTAGAACATCAATGTCATATTTCCCATGCCTTGAAACTCCCTATTGTTTATATTTCACCCAGAAAAAATTACATCTATGTGATACATTACCATATTTAGTCGTTCATTGTTCGGATATCTAGACAAAGCTGCAACAACTGATCTTCTCAATATCTCTCCAATTCCTTCTACCCCATGTTTAACAGCAATATAAAAGGCTTCAGGTGCATCTGCAAGAGTGAGCATTGTAGCAAGGGGTTGAATCTCATCAAAGGAGTACTCAGAAACTCCAGAAGATAAGCACGCCTCATTTATTTGGTATAGAACATAGTCAACCAGAACAAGAAATAGATTTCTCTTTTCTTCTCTTGAATTTGCCCGGGAATACTGCACAAGAAAGAAAAATAAATGGTATAATATAAACACTTGGTTCTAGATGAACCACAATAAAAATCACAACTTAAAAGTAGAACCAGACGAATGACAGTAGGAGTTTCAGGTCCAATTCCCACATTTTCCATCAGTACTTGCATGATAAAAGGCTTTAATAAATGAAACTCCAGAAAGAAAATTAGAATATCTCCAAGACTACATAAAGGAGAATTTTCTTTATGGTTCACCATTTTCTTTTTCATAACATGCATTGCTTGTATTAATGTACATAAGACAACAGGAGAGTGATGTAAGATACAAAACAGGACATATTCAAGTTCATACAAATATTATAAAACACGCAACATGCAACAATGATACTTATTTCCACATTTGGGTTCCAAAATCCAAGCATCATTTGCTTTGGAATATTTCTATTGGTAGGAAACAGTCAAAAATAATTTTCTGCTGGAAATTCATGCAAATAATGTACAAGGTTCAGAACTCCATAATCCATACACAGGAAGTTGCTTAAGTGCATTACTGCACTGTAAGTTGAAGTCTATGTATAATTATGAGATTAAAGCTATTTAGGAGTTTTTAGACCAAGCAAATTGAAGGTGTGAGATAACCTTATTTTCTCCCCAACTCCAAAACCTTTGAAAGGGCTTCAATCATCTGCTCTCCTCCAGAAAGGCAAAAACTACTTAGGATCTCCATGACTAGAATGAGAGGTATCCTTGTCTCAAGCCCCTCTCTGGCAAAGAGTCACCCACTGACTTTGCTGACCTGTGAATCTAGCTAATGAGGTATTTAGCCTAGATTTCTGTAATTTTGCCTCTCCAATGGCATTGAAAGGAGCCAAAGAGTAGAGAGCTCCTCATCATCCACCCTTATCATTACTTGGAGTTCTCTTCAACTTCCAGGTTTGCAAATTCCTTAGTAATTGCGAGGTTTAGTCTATGAAGCTGAAACCCTAGTTCAATCAATTCATTAATCTTTACTTGTAATAAATAAACATAATTTCACATGAACCTAATAGTGACATGGATCAGGGTGTTTGACTCAAAACAATATGCAAAACATGGATCAGGAAGATTTTTCAGGCTTGGACCTAGCAGGAAGGTAAAGAAGACAGGAGGACTGAAGACCTAGCAAGAGGAGCAAAGATATTCTGATTCAATCCACTGGGGAAGCTGGCATTTAGGCTTAGAATGGTGTCCAGGTGTCTAGGCTGGGGAGGGTCCAAAGCTGTACTTGGGAGGGCTTAAAAAGTTTTTGTGTGATCACTGGAGTTTTTTCCTTTTGATTTGGGATGCTATGGGTAATTGCTTTGGGGGGTTTATTTTTCAATGCTGAAGTTGGGGGCCTTTATTTGCTCTGCTGGGAATGTAAGGGATTTTGTAATTGGGTCCTCATTGTACTCTTTGATATTTGTAGGTGGCCTTGTTTATAATTTGTTCTTTTCTTTCTTCGATAAAAAGGTTAGGTCCATATCCAGTACACCCCCTCCCAAGAACACNCCCCCCCGACCCCTATAGCTGAGATCAATATTGGGTAATGGCCTTTATTAGTAGCCATATGGCCTGACCACCTACAAGAAAAAAACAAACATTTTAACATCATTCCATTAGAAATAACCAAATTCTGATTACATTTCTTTTCATATAATGAGGTTTCCTAAACACTAGTGATTAGCTATCTTGAAGCAACTGAATAATATCCTAATCTGTACATAATCAAAAAATTTGGCCAGCTACCTAGCTTTACAAACATGTAAAGGCATTTCCCATGAAAATAATTCCAACATTATCCTATCATCTTATGTGTCCACTTAATAAGAGTTAAAAGCAAAACTTGAGACTAGAATAAAATAAAATCAAGACAAGTCCTAACTAAATCTAGTTGGAACTGGTATGTTTGCTGAATTGTACAACCAGCCCATGTAATAAATCTTTTCCAATTCTCTATGGCTCTTCAAAAAGTAAAATAAATTAGCCCTGCTGGGCCAAAGGCAGAAAAATATGGAGTAGGCTGTGGACCCTTACAAATGTCTCATGGAATTTTGTGGAGGTATGTGGAAACTGGAAAAGGGTTGGTAGCTTCTGCACCTCTGAGCCCCTAAAGAAAAGATTATCCTTATTTTGATTGTTAATTTATTTATTCAAGATGATGAACAAGAGGTTGTAGACACCCTAAAAAAGCCAGTAGCTCAACAAGAGTTGTCATTGAATAACTTATAGCATTTCAGCAGAGATAGTATGCAAGTATAAACATAAGTAAACTTTATTACCATAAACTTGTAATAAAATTTTTTGCTATATCCAAATCTCCTAATCTAACTACCAAATACAAATTTTAACTTTGAGTGAAACAAAGGTGACTCCTTGCAGATTTCCTGTGCAGTAGATGGGTTCAGATAATTCTGCATACAAACACAATAAATGGTACATACCTCAAGGCAAATAAACTCAATTCCTCCAAGTAGATCAACCTGTTCAACAAGAAATATAGGAGGATTTGAAATAGATTTTGCAGAGCCATCAGGAATTTGATAGAACATGTTTGTTAACATGCAAATAAGTTTGCAATGAACTACTTCTGCCCAAGAGTGCTCTCTGCTAATCTCCAAAAGCATCTTAACAACCTGCAAATAATGCAAAAAGAAAAAGGCATCAAACTTCAAAGGATAGATAATACAGAAAAGTGAGATAAGTAGAACAGGAAGATCTAGAAAGATAATAGGATCATAATCTGTTGAAAGGAGGATAGATGAAGATTAGAAGATCTATAGACAGAGCCTGGATCTTTTGTAACAACTCACAAAGTCACAAATAATAGACAAGCCATGCAAAAGCTGATACTTTGCACCAGATAGTACATTACATGGAGAAAAACTAAGCACTAAGTTGTACAATATTGGCAATGGCATTATTATATAGGACCTATCACACCTATTTGCCTATTACTTATGTTGATTCCGGTGTTATTAGTCTTGACCAGACCGGACCAGACAGTCTGACCATCAGACTCAGGAGGTGGTATGCAATCTGGTTTTTAAATTTTGGTTTTTAATCTTTTCCAAAAACATTCAACCTATTATCAACCCAAATTAGCCATTGAAAACAGTCTGGATTTTAGCAAGGTTGCATACTTGACCAATATGCCAAAAGCCTTAAGACTGTTGGAACACGTCAAGCCAAGCCTATTAACATTTAGGACCATAACATACCACCACGCTCCCATAGATGACATCTTGGAAGCTCTCACTCTAGCAGCTAGGTGAGATTTTAAAATTTCAGTTTACAGTTTCAGTCCAGTTTTCTGAATTTCAGAAATCAGACCAGATTATAACATTTAAATATATTACACGACTCTTTTTTAAGTAAATCTAATAAGATTTGAGACTCAATTAACAGTTCAATTTAGTGGCACTTGTTAACATTTCAATATAATATTTGAATTATATTTGTTATTTATGCAGGTATGAATGTTATTTGGGATTTCTAATTGGGTCAATCCCAATAGAATGCCCCAAGCCATATTAGAAACCAGATTAGACCATAATAAAACGGTCTGGTCTCTATGCTACAACAGTTTGGTCTGGTCTGAGAATTTCTCAGACTATAATTTTCTGGTTTGGTCTGAGATTTTCTCCAAACAAGACCAAACTAGACCATGAACACTCCTAGAGGCAGGTAGCCCTTTCCCTTTGCTGGCTTTCACTCTGCTCCAGGTAGCCCTTTCCATGACAGTTTCTTTTTGATGAATGAATTAGTAATTTTATTAAAGAGAAACAAAAGAGAGTACAATCATCCTTGGAGGAGGCACGAGATGGTACCTCCCCTTTACGGTGAGTACAGACGAAAAACAGGACAGAACTATAGATTAGCCCAAGAAACCCCTTGTTTTTCCAGAGAGTCTGCCAAAACATTTGCTGATCTGCTAATCCACTGGAAGTTGACTGACATATTCCTTGTGAACCATTTTACTTTTTTCAGGAGATCTCTGTAGCCCCAAAAAACACTGATCGGATTCAGCAGCCAACCCACTACCACCTTGAAGTCTTCAGCACCCCAAGTTGGTTAGCAATTTGTAGGCCTTGTACAACTGCAAGCATTTCATCCCTTGTTGAGTCTCCAACTCCCACTGGACCTGAGAATAAAGAGATAATGTTGCTGTCCTTGTCCCTCAAAACCCCTACAATGCGCGAGGGCCCTGGGTTGCCTTGGCTGCTACCATCAAAGTTCAGTTTTACAACCCCTTCTGGAGGAACTGTCCACCTTACTTGTGTCCTAATCCTCTTAGAGACTACAGATGCCACCATTACCCAACCCCTCGGAATATCACCACAGGAATAAACCACAAACAAATCAGAAGTCTTTAGCCAAAAGATGGTCCTTGTTAATATACTCTCCTTAACTTCCTTAGGGCCCCTTTCCTTTCCTTAGAATATCCTGGCATTCCATTCTTCCCAAATAGTCCATACCGCAGCTGCTCTTATACATTTCAACATCAGTTTTCCTCAATTCGTTGGCCACCAAAAAGTTGACAGATCAAAGAGCATTTTTACTTGCACCTGTGCCCAAATAAAGAAAAAGCCCAAGTCCAAATACTTGCAGCAAAGGAGCAAGATAGTAGCAAATGGTAACAATCCTCATTCTGCACTTTACACATTGTGCACCAGTTTGGGGAAAAACACATATAAGGTCTCTCTTTTGCAGGTTATCCAAAGTATTAATCTTACCATTATAAATCTCCCAACCAAAGGCAGGGGGGGACTTCAAAAGGAAGCACAAGTAAAAGAGCCATTTGACACCAAGGTCCAAATTCTTTTATTTGGGTTGAGGGTGTCCAAGCAAGCAGAATCCAACAATAATAAAAGCTCAGAGACACAAGCAGATCCCTCATCACTTAGGCCTCTACAAAACCTAAGATCCCAGGCAGGGGGGTGAAAAAACCTTGAAACAAGCTCCTTCTTAAAGAGGGAGATAGAATAAAGGGAGGGAAAAAGATTTTTTAAAGGTTGATTAGCCACCCAAACATCTTCCCAAAAAATAACATACTTGAGCAAGCATCATACCTTACAAACTTGAAGAATTTAGGGAGAATGCTAGAAATTGCCTTCCAAGGAATAGTGAGTCGAGCCCGTTGAGATACTCCAACATCCCATCCAGTTTCAAAACAGCCATGGATACTAGCCACCACTTCATGCCAAAGCCTCTCTCTTTTCACAGGCCACCTCCAGAGACACTTGCCTAAAAGAGCTTCATTTTTGTTAACTATGTTCCCTAGTCCTAATCCCCCTTCTTCCTTACAACGGCTAACTACCTCCCATCTGGTCAAGTGATCCTTTTTCTCTTCTCCTGGCTCCCATAAGAAGTCCCTCATCAGATTTTCTAACCTCTTGTATACCCTAGAGGGTATCCTCAAAACGGATAGAAAGTAAATAGGGAGATTAGCGAGAGTAGCTTTGATTAAGGTGACTCTTTCCCTCCTAACGAGATGTAATTCTTTTTCTAAGCCAGTAACCTTGTTTCAAACTTTTCCACCATAGGGTCCTAGAAACGACTCTCCTTTGGGTTAGCACCTAGGAGAAGTCCTAACTCCTAAGTAGGTCAAGGGCCACTCAGAAATGGAACACTCTAAGCACGCAGCAATAAACTCCAGCTCCCTTTGAGTTGGAAGGACTCTCAAAGAATGATATTAGGTTCTTCAAATTCTGCACTCTCACCACTTCAAATCCTTCAAGAAAAAAAATTATAATGCCATCTACAAACTAAAAGTGAGTAACGGAGATTTGGTTTCTTCCTATTCTCCAACCTCTTATTGATCCAGCCCTATCCCCTTCTGATAACAGCCTATTAAACACATCGGCGGTCAGTGTGAATAAGAAAGGGGAAAGCGGATCTCCTTGTCTTAAGCCCCTATAGGCTAGGAAGAAATCATTTACTCCCCCATTGACTAAAACTGAATAATGGCAAGAAGAGAGGCATCTATTTATCCATTTGTGCCATTTGTCTCCAAAACCACACTTCCGAAGCACCTCTAATAAAAAGCTCCAATCTACCAAATCATAGGCCTTTTTAAGATCCAATTAGCATACAAAACCTTGAGTTCTCAATCTTCTCATCAGTCATCTCCTCAACACACGCATTTGCTATTAAGATCTGATCAATTATTTGTCTTCCATGAATGAACGCACCTTGAGCTTGACTAATGAGAGAGGGAAACACATTTTTGATCCTCAAGAACAAAGACCTTAGCCAAGATCTTGTAGATACTTGTGAGTAGATTGATTGGTCTAAAATCTTTAGGATGTATGGCCTCTTTCATCTTTGGAACCAATGCTATGAAAGTTGCATTGATTCCGCGACTAATGACAAAATTTTCTTCAAACTCTCTAAAGACCTCAAACAAATCATCTTTGATTTTCCAACAATCCTAAAAGAAAGCCATAAGTAAACACATCCGGCCCCGATGCTTTAGATCTATCCATAGTAAACACTAATTGCCGGATTTCCTCCTCAAAATTCCTTTCAACCAAACTTTGTCCTCTTCAGAGATGTTCAGCCACTCCAAACCAGCCAACTCCAATCTACTTCCTAGTGGCTTCCTTAGAATAGATTTGAAATGATTTACAAAGCAGTTCGCTATCTCCTCTCAAGGAGTCCAATTCCAATCCATCCACTTCAAGTTTGATCACCAAAATTTTCCTCCTCCCATTGACTAATTCATGGAAGAATTCAGTATTTCCATCACCTTCCTTAATCCATTTGTGTCTAGATTTTTGACACCAAGAAATTTCTTCACGCAAGAGGATCTCTTCTAACTCCTCTAGCCTCCATCTGAAGTCTCTTTCTTGTCCACTCATTGTTCTAAGGGATTCCTTCACATCTTAAATCGCTTCTAGCTCCTTCTTCAGCCCTTCCCATGGCAGTTTTCACTCTGCTAAAGTAGCCCTCTACATGATTCTAACTTGAGACATAGTGGTAGGCTCTGATACCATTTGTTACATGCTTAACCAATGCGTGAAAAGCCATAAGACTGTTGGAATGCATCTAGCCAAGCCCTTTAACACTTAGGACTGTAACATAGCCTCTGTAGATGTTACGTGCCCCAACCCTCCTGCATTTAAGCTTAAGTGGATACAATGACTGTAAATACTTGGTTTTAGCCCCACCCACTGCCATCAGAGCTCCTTGAGAAAGGTCACTTGAAGGGAACATCATCCTTGTCCAACACAATACAATCTGAAATTACCTACTTGGGTATTAACCTTGATGTAGCAATTATTTGAGTGGATTCACACAAGGATGCCATGACAAGACCATTCACTGAATGGGTATACGTATCATTGTATGCATTAAATTTATCACCTAAAATGATTTGGCCAAGGATGACATAGTGTTAAGGAGACAATTGAAAAAGGATTTGGGAGAGGTGTTATTGAGGGAAGAAATCAGTTGGAGACAAAGTCTAGACACAAGTGGATTAAGGAAGGCAATGGGTACACTAGATTTTTCCATGACTTGGCCAATGGGAGATGAAGAAAGAATTTTGTGACCAAGCTACAGATAGAAGAGGGGGTGACTACCAACCAGGATGACATAGCCAGAAAATTTGTGGACCACTTTAAATCGATCT